GGAAGAAAAAATTGTTTCTGATAGTAGTAAAAGTATTAGGACATCCGAAGGGGGTAGGGGGGTTAACTTCCAATTTCCTCTGTGGGGGTGGTATGGATGTTTTCTGGAATGACCCATTATGGCAGTAATTTTGCATGTTTTGTATACTTAACAAGGCAATTTGCTTTGAAATATTTAGGCATGCACTTGCTGTTATTCATTTTAACAAAAATTTAAATCTGAGCAACAGAATGAAGAATGGCATTGAACAACTTCATGTTGTGTACCCAAAATTCAAGAATGGAGAGGCTGTGGTTAGGAATGTAAAGGTGCAGCAAAATTTTGGTATGTATATCACATTCTCTTCACACTCCAACTGTCCAACACTTTTTACTGAGTAGAAAGATCTATATTTATACAAGGCAGAGGTGCACATAGCTTATTGACCATCTATTTGGCACTCCTATAATAATTACATTGTTATATTATTGCCTTTCTTGAAGATTATGTCGATGAAATATATGAGACAATGATTGATGCAATCTTGAACAAAAAATTAAAGAAGGCAATTAAAGAATTAAAAGATTTAACACCACCCCCAATGAACAAAATGCTTGACCAGCAGCCACGTACCGAGGCCATCAAAAAGAAGAAAAGAAGGGAAAGCATGCCCATTGTTGATGTGCCACCAACAAATCCTGGTAGGTTGGTTTACTTGCTCTAGTAGCCTTATATTCAATGCTAAGTTAATTAACGGTATATTTACATGCTGCGATTTATCATACATGTATGATTTGTATTACTGCATGAAATTACTGCTGACACCATCATTCCTCGACATGTAAACGTACATTAATTCGTCATTATTATTGTTTTTCACACATTTTAGTGCCTGCTGTTGCGGTTTCAAATCCTGGTGACAGTACAAGAAGCAAGCCAAAATGCAAAGCATGCAAGAGACCAATGAAAGGCCACAAAAAGTTTAAAGATTGCCCCAAGAACCAAAATAAATAAGTGCAGTGTGCAATAGGCAATTCCAGCTTTTAGTTTATGCGTGCAGGGGGGTGGGGGGAAGTAAGGCATCATATTGCTGATTATGCTGAAAAAATAAAAATGGTGACCATGTAAACATGGAGTGACAGCTTATACTTGTAAATATTGAAATATTTCGGTTGTTTCGGTAGTTTTTATTGAAATTATTTAGCATTATCAGCAATATGATACCTTACTTTCCCATCACCCCTGCCCGCATAAACTAAAAGCTGGAATTGCCTATATTGTTTATATAAAATAGATTATTATCCGAGTGTTTTTCAGTTTTTGTAAAAAATAAATCAAAGTATGTTACTATGTGCTATAAAGTGCTATATATTTACAGTAAGTTTAGTCCAGTTCCTCCAGATCTTCATATCCTTTGAAGTCGTCTTCCTTTTCATTGAAGGATGTGCGGATAGCATGGTAAGCACAAGCTGGCAATGGTGTTCGCTTGTCTTTTAAACGGCCATGAACAAGTCGTGTGAATTGTCTGTATGCCACCACATGAAGAAACCTAAAAACACAGAGCCATATGGTTATATATTTACTTTTTATAGTACAAAGGTTGCAGTAAGGAATAGAGATAAAAATGATCTCAGATTACAATCTAAATTATATATCATGTTTTATATTTTAATATATAAGTGGAAACTGACCTATCCTTTGAATCAACTTGTCGATATTTCTGGCCAGTACGCGTTTTAAAATTATCCGAAGCGAGTTCCAGAGACCATCTGTTGAGACAAATTGCGTCGAATCCAGGGTGATTTGTGATGCACATTTGTTGTGTGTTCATGGCGTCGTCATCAGAAGACTCAGAAACATCTTTGTTTACAATAGACAATGCAGCGACACAGTTTGGTAATTCAGTGCAACAGCGACATTCTTTTGCCTCTACTAAATTTTCGGTATTGCAGTTACCACAATTGCACCTAGAAAAGGTATACAGTGTACTTTAGTTGTGGTCTTTTGAAAAATCCAATGTGAATATGGCGGCCACACAATATTTACAAATAGAAAATTGTTTGACTTATCTTACCAAGAGCTCACTGGGTTTTCTCCGCTTAATCGAAGACTTAATTCTTCTATTTCCCGCGTATGTTGTTCTTGTCTTTGCATATATTCTTCGACCCACGAATCGTCAGCTAAAGGCTCATCAGCGTATGCTAAAACGTCCTCATCGTCTCGTAGTTCTTCCTCAACGGCATACGAAGGCTCACTTTCATATCCATCATTGGACGTCGTTTCGCATGTTTCATCCTCAATTTCGTATTCAGGGCAACCGTACGAGCCCTCGTCAGAACTAGAGAACGATTCTGAGCTAGACATAACAATTTACCTCTGAAATATTTGCGTTTTTGTCAGCCGCTAAGCAAAAACGTAATAGATTTTATAGTATTTGACTAAAGACCGGTTCCTGAGTCCCAGTCCCCCGAGCAACACACCTTTTTTTCCAAAATGCCCTGTTTGAGGCCCGATATCTCAGAAACTATTGTTTTATATAAAAAAAGGATCTAGACTTTCTATACTAACTTTTTGTGCTCTTTCCAAATCCATAAAAATCCCATGAGTGATATAGGCACTTTAAGGAAAAAGTGAATACAATACTAGCAATACAACTGCATTGCTGCAAGATATACTCGTGCCATTGGCATATCTATATCAAATATCATCATACTAGCAATACATTGCGGATATAATACCGTGCCATTTGCGTACTCCCATTAAATTTTCTCCTTAAAATTCAAACTTTGGGCACTATTTTACAAATTTACGTCAATCAACTTTTCAGCTGTATTTTACCCACCAATCAAGCTACAGTATATAGCCCAAGGAATTGAATATGATTTTCAGTTCATAGACACTTGAAGCTTGGCAATAGCATTTAATTATCACATTAGTGATTAATTATACACATTAATTATTCAACCTGTAATTTCTATACAGAATAGTTGACAGTTGTCAAAAGCTGTAACCATAAAATACAAAACAATGGACACTCCGAAAACTGTTAACATTATTTGTCCGCTAAGACAGCTTTTTTGGTTGATATAGGCCATATAGATGGTGACGTCATGTTGTCATGGTAACATGAAGAGTAGCGATTGTGGGTTAAAATTACTTTTTTATATCAGAGGAAACAATGGCTTGTGCAAAAAAATAGTTGTTTTAGCTTTTAGTTTAAAACACTGATATATATTGGAAACTGTAGGGAGCCTCCTTAAGAGATAACTCTTCATTGTTTTGTATTTGGTAACCTGTAACGTTTGGCTATCAGACCATGCTAGCGTAACAAGACTGACGGTGGAACAAGTGCTTAAAACTTTGCGGGTGGCTTGAAAGCAACTTTTATTTATTGTATGGTAGTATATGATTATTATATGCTCATTTGCATGGTCACGAGTTTTTGGGTACTTGGTTATTAATATTTCATGAACAAGGACAAATTCATCTAACAGGTAATTGGTTTATTACAGGCTACAGTTCTGCATCGATTTGCGCCTGGCACCAGGAGCTCGCCTGTTTCTTCGCCCAGCACTAGTGTAGCAACTTGTTCCCCTTGTCTTGACGGACCTGACGCCACTCGCTCTCTCTCGTCGCCGTTGCCTGGCCCTAGTGGAAAAACTATCAGTTCACCCATCTCACCAACGTTCAGTGTAAGCGGTTTATCGTCACCAAGTATTTCTTCGCCGGCTTCATTTGTTTCGATTCGAGACAGCCCACTAGTAAGATTTCCTCGGTCGCCAGTCCCTCAAAAGAGAATAAAGCTCTCCAGTGCAGCAAGAAGCCTGACTTCCTCTTATACACAGCCGTATGTCCCGCCTTCCTCAAAGGAAATTTCAAAAATATTTTGTATTTGTACGAGAATAGAAAACAAGGTCGATCGCCTTACTGAAATAATTATAGAGAACAGCGAGCAGGATGGGGGAAATTTTGATCGTCTTGACGGCGATATAATGACCATACACAACGAAGTCAACTTAGAGACATCGCTGAGTGAACAGTCCTCTGTGACTGGGATCTCAGATAATAACCAAGTGCGAATGATCCATGATAATATCCTCCAGCTCAGAAATCAATCTAGTTCCGCTACCAGTTTTGCTGTTAAGCTGGTCAGGCAGATGTTCGAACCGCATGAACTGGTCGGAAGAAATGTTAGCGGCGTTCGCGGAAAGAAACCGCTAGACGGGAGCAAAATTGGGAAAATTAAAGAAACTGTGAACCAGTTTTATCCCGCTCCAACTGCTGAAGCACTTGAGACCTGGAAAAACTGTAGAAAAGCGATTGACTCCTTCCTTCGAAAAACACACAGCGCGTCAACATCAACAGCGACAAATAATTCTTGACGCGATACGTTTTATTAACTATATAATACTCACTTGTAGGCATGTCAAATATGATACATGAACTATAAAGCGTGAACTTTAACCAAATAGTTATTCATACATATATGAGATATAGATCAGAAACAGTTTTGTTTAAATATAGTACGTTTAGGTGTAGCACTTTTATTGATAAACAACTGAACGTGCAAACAGAATGGTGTTGTCGACTGCAACCTCGTTCCGTACATTGTATTCGCTCCCTGCGGGAAAATAGCAAAATACCGATAGCAAACTACTATAAATACCCCCGACATTCATCAGTTCACCCTAGTTTGCTATTTTTCAAGCAGTTCTTTCACACTCTCAATTTAGCCAAGAAAATATTATGCGCTGATTATTTTCGATAGTGAATTTTGACAATTTTTCAGTTGCTCTAAAAGCCATGTTACATTAATATTTGTAGTCATAGCCATGTGATATGTAAGCATGTTTAATTACCGTTGTTGCTTGCTGATTTTATGTGAATGGTATATGCATAAAATTCTAATAAAAATTCATTAGGACCATTAGTGCAAGCGCAGAGATTTTATAGTAGTTTATACTAAGTTTAGTTGATTATCTATAAAGCATGTCAGAAAAATAGTCAAATGCATAGACTGATATAAACTTGAATGAAATGACTAGATGAACTGAAGGCACAGACAATTATGAATTTATGTGCAAATTTCATGCTTGGTATTGCATGGCAATGAAACCATCAATGACAATGTTGAAATTTAAAATAATTTAGTGACCATAACTCGAGTACTCCGGTGTGATGCGAAATTCCTGACTTGCGAAATATCTTACTATTGTAGAACTCCCATGCATAGATGATGCGCATGAATGACTTTGGCTCATAACTTTCGCAACTCAACAGACAACACGTCTATTTATAAAGTCATTTTATTTATACATAAATTTTCAAAATTCATACAATTGATCAACTGAATTGACACTACGCCACTGATTGTGAACGTTGGCGTTCAGCGATAATAAAGCTTGAATCGCAAATATGGAAAAAGTCACTCGAAAGCACTCTTAGACTTAGTGATATAAAATAGACTCCAGTTTCAAAGGTTATGCTATATGCGTTACTATAAGCACCAAAAATTGTTTTGCGTTTGACCTTCTCAATTGTCACTATTTCAATAGCAAGCAGCAACAATGAGTTCGTGAGTTGGCCGTTTAGATTTGGCGATGTCTATATATTAGAAATATTTGGTAACATCGCATATGGACTTAAAAATCGTTTCGACTGATTGTATTTAGCAAACGTCGTGTATTTCGCGGTCACGAGCACACAATTTGCTTTATGTCGATTTGAAATATTTAACGAAGTATTAGCAATTAACATATCATGATTATTTTATCTAAACTCTAAAAAACAGTTTTGGCTGACATAGAATTTAGCAAGCGTCGTGTTATGCTTGGTCAGGTATTTCGCAGAGGTCAGAAATTTCGCTTGACACTGGCGACGTTATTGGCAACAAGTTGCTAGATTATTAGTCAAACCTTAAACTCTATTTAATTTAATGTCGGAACCAGTTGACAACATAATTACACATCTGGTTGTTGTTTTAAAAGATAAGCTGTTTGCATGTAGTAATTATAAGGACGCGGCCAATCAGGAACGCGTCTTTTCTGTTTCAAGGACGCAATTTGATCGCGTCTTCAAGTGCGTGCAAAACGCAGCCTGGTCCCAATCGGACGTGGTAAAGACGCGTTTTGAGGTGCGTCCAGAACGCGGTAATACCGCAGTCGAGTGCTCCAATACTTCTAAGCAGTACTGTATGCATATGATTTCTATGGCAATGCTATGCCAACACTTACGAAAATTTCCTATAGGAATTCCTATAAGAAATGAAATTCCTATAGGATTTGAAAATTCCTATAAGAATTCATAAGATTTGAAAATGGTGAAAAAATTCCTTTAGGAAAACGAAATTCCTATATATATACTAATATACATATAGGAAATAAAAATTCCTATAGGAATTCCTATAGGATTGGAAAATAAATTTATTCTAACATTAATTAAATGAATAATTACCGCAATGTGCGCGACCAACAGACTGATGTCTAGTTTTTTCCCACACGCACAAAGCATCTTGGGATAGGTCATGACACCTCCGATATTTTATAAATTTTTTGTTTGTGAATGCTTTATATATGTTCAAAATAGAACTATTTTTGATGAGATTCAACTGGATTTTCACTAGTAATACATCAGCGATGTTTGTATAATGTTCAGGTGAGCATATGTTTATATTTTGTTTATAATAAAGCAAATTATAAAGGAATACCTAGTCCAATATTCATTCGTGAAATTCGAGCATGTGTTTCGATCGGTTTAAAATTTGAATTTGCCGCGACAATAATGGATTAGAACGCTGGTATAAATATATTTATCTGTCTTTTATACTTCAATAAATGCTACTATAAGAGTTTTATATTTGAATTAGACTTTTCAATGTTTATTGGTTAATATATTTGTATATGCTATAAACTGTATATGCAAGATTAATTGCAGACATTAAGCATGCCTATACATATAGACTATATAGTACTATATGCTCATATTACATATAGTTTGAAAATTTATCTACTTGCTCAAATCAGCAGCAACCTTCCTAAGATTCTGATATCAAATTAAAATTGATATTTCATTGGCATGGGAGAGGTGTAATTGCACCAGTCAATATGAATTAAAATATGTTAGCTAGCCTTAGTGTAATGCCAGGAAAATTCTCCATATTTTTTTATGAAATTAACATTTAACTATGTGATGGTATATTCAAGTTAACGAGACTCTTTACTTACATTTCACACTAACTCGTTAGGATGAATATGCTCAACTTTCAGTACTTTTTTATTTTACCTTGTCTAACACCAGATCAAATATTTTACTTGTGAAAGAGAGTGGACAACTTTGATAGGTTATCTTGCTCAGTGGCATACCGTTATATCAAGGGGCCCTCGGTTCAAACTTTTCGAAGCCCCCCGTAGTAAAATTGCCAGAGCCACAAGTCGAGCGCCGTATATGCACAAGTTTTCTAGTGGGTCCAGAGCATGCTCACCCAGAAAATATTTGAATCTAGACTCTCTGAAATGCCATTTCCCAGACTTTGGGGAGAGATTTTACAGAATTCTGATGGTCAGAGAATGGCATTGTTGCTCTATAGGCTATAGCCTGAGCCTGGGGGCCCCCGTTGGGGTTGGGGGCCCCCAGGTTCTCCCGATCCGAGCCCATAGTAGTTACGCCACTGATCTCGCTGTCCCCCTGTGTTATGTGTAAACTCATTAAGACCCAATTCACACTAATCTGCTCTATTTCAAAGCCCAATATTTTGGCCTGTCTAACACCAGACTATTTTGCATTGTTTGTTGTTAACACATTTAGATGCAATTCATCCTAACACTCCCCACCTTCAGTACTTTGATAGTTAATTATCAGATGATTTTACTCATCAAGATGAGTGTTGGTTATTGAAAGGTTAATAATTAACTGCAAAAGCTGCTGTGTTGGCATATTTAGAAGCAATGTGCCCTACTTTTAGTACTTTGTTATTTTATTAAATGTTTGTTCCATTAATGTTCCAGACTCTCC